CCTAAAGCAAAAGAATAGCTACAACTGGCACAGCACTCTTGTTTCTAATTTTTAAGGCTCTCTAGATATCAGGCCTCAAATTTTAATCTTGTTTAGGACTCATGCCACTAAAACCTGGAATAGAAAACTGGATTTTAGGAAAGAATTTTTCATTTCCAGAAAATAGGTTTTATAAAGAGAAAGTATTTTTTCTTAAAAGAAGAAAGGGAGCTGATAGTAGAACTAAGATAGTTTGAATTCAGTCATTACTTTTTCATTCAATTATTCTTAAACTTTACATGACTGAAAGGCTCTGCTGAAGAAGGAGCATTAAATCAGAAGTTCAGAAAATATTTACATTTTGAATCAAAAGGAGTTGTTCATGGCCACATAAGGAAGTTATATTAAAGATACACATCCAACTCAGCCCATCATGTGGTCCTTAAGACTACTAAGGACCTATATATCATAAGTATGTAATAATTATTTTGGCAATGTAGACACTAACAATGTCAACCTCATTGTTTTGACTCCCCTCCTATGATTCCTACAGAGCAGACCTTAAAATAAATTGGTCACAGCAAAACATTTATCTTGTAGATCAGGAGATATGTGATGAGAAATAATTTATTCGTATCTAAAGTAACAGTCTAATCATCAGATGTGGAGATGCAGATGCTAAACAACTTGTTGACTAAGGGAAAAGAAACAGGGCTTTCGTGCCAGTAAGCAGATGTGCTCAATAGACTGCCTCATAAGCGCTGATTTAGAAACAGCTGTTAATGCTGCCATCATCTTTAATACAGCTCATTTCCCGCCACTTCCTTTGTTTTCTGTGCATACACATGCTTGCTCCATACAGTCAAGTTGTGCTAGTCAAAGGGTGGAGACGAGAGAGTGCATTTCAATAAACAGTAGGCAATCAGGACTTGATTCTGGGAGGTGGTGAGCATGCTCAGACCCTGCTGGAGCTAACTTAGCCTTGAAAAATAGCATTAAAAGCTCTGTAAATCTTATTAAGTTTGTCACAGTAGATCTTTAAACTTTCTTAAAGGATATAACTTTTTGCAAAAGTTGTGAATGTCACTACTAGTTCTTTCACTGGGGGAAATTTCAAAAATTTTTAAAGTTAATTTCAGCTAGATTTTTTCTTTCTATTTTTATTTCAATTTTTCTTTATTTTTCTTTCAGTCATTCAGTCACTCTCTGTCACTCTTGATCTATTCTATTCTATTCTATTCTGCACTGTTCTATTCTACTTCTTTTATTTTCTATCTTCTTTCTTTGTCCTCTCTCCTTTATGTTTCTCAGGGTTTTTGTTTTCATTCATGTTATATGCAAGACCTGAAAGATTTAAATGAGTTGTGTGTTTAAAAAGCATTTTTTTCCATGAACCAAGATAAACTGATGCTCTGAATTACTTCACACAAAATTTGCTTCACTTCCTTTCCATTACTAAAATATCAATGGATCACATATCAGTAACAATTATACCCTCTATAACTGACCTTCAGCTCCAAAGGAAGTTCAGAATTCCAATATCTAAATTTGATCTCTAGAGGAAATAACAAGTGAAGTACCTGTCTCATATTATTAGCACATGAGCATTAAGGTCTTCATTTAGAATATATTGAGCTGTATGAAAAAACTCACATTGACATTAGTGTACTTTGGATCAGATCAAAAGTGAACTTCAATACTTCATAATGGAGGATATAATGAAATATATAGTAAAAAATATTTTGTATATGTATAATACATTCCCTTATATAAGAACCCTGCTGTACATTAACACAGCAAATGGCATCAAAATAAACTCACAATATTTTCAATCATAAACTTGACTATAAATGATTTCTAGCGTTTGAGAATAATCTTTGACATACCAAAAAAGTAATAGCTTATTTTATATTCTGTAAGTAAATCAGATGCAGTTTATTTAAGGTAATGAACAAAAGTATTGAAGAAAAAAGACTTTTTTCCCCCCTTTTTAACATTGTTACCATCTTCTCTTTATGGGAAGGCTATAAGTTTGTCAGTAGTATATTTCCTCCCACGAGATTATCAGGGTTACTTTCTTCCTTCTACACTCAAGACAGCGCATGCAAAGGGAGCTGGAGTAATTTCAGCCCAACTTTCCCAAAATGCCATGTTTCCCATACAATGGGTCACCAGCAGACATAGCATTACATGCTGGGTCCTTGGAGGAATATGCAAAATATACTCATCCTTGAAAAGGGAATTCATCATCCCTTCACTGATTTATATCAACTAATATGCAGATGCTGACCTCTACTAATCCCTGGTGGAGGCACTTTAAGGCATAATTTTATGAGCTGATCTGAAGGTTGGTGATCTGAATGAAGATGTACTCCCCAGCCTGGATTCAGTTACTCATTACCTGGAGCTGGGGTCAATCTTTTGGGTTTAATGCTCAAGGAGACAGACTCCTCTCAACTCTGCTGTTGTCAAGTGGCCTGAATTATAACAAGCAGAACCAAAATGTATTGTCATAAAAAATGAAAACCAGAATAAGTTATTAAATTACAGTAGAAAACAGTCAAAAAATGTCAGTTTAGCAGATGTGAGAATTAGTTTTGTCTGTGAGAGAACAGAAATGAGCACCTGTAACAGAAGCCAGGCAGTAATCATCCTGTTTACCCCTGTCCCTTGCAGGACAGTCTCTGACTGGTCACAGGGGTATTAGCTTCAGTTTCTCAAGTATTCACAAATGAACTGACCACATCCAGGAGGCCTGGATGTCTCTTATTCCAGTAAGTTAAAGTAGGTTGCATCCAGGCTGTGCACTGAAACCTTTACTTCAAATGCATTATTGTCATTTTTCTTGAAACCATGTTTTCTGTACATTATTATTACTCTCTTCTGGGCTTTGAGTGATGTGAATTATTCTGTGAATGTTCAAGGACATAAAAATATCCAGAGAATTGCTTGGACCTTTTAATAATTACTCCAATCCTGTAATTTTTTCTTACCAAAGAAAAATGGCTTGGCCCTTATTTCATAAGAAGTGGGATAATATCCTGTGATAATGGGTCCAATCCAAAGTGTATTATTTTTGATGTTCAGATAATGATTGCAGTTGTATCTACTGCATTACCTGGCACAAGTAGAGCAGTGCCTTTTGCAAGGGAAACTTCACTGTTAAACAAAACCCCCACAATGAAACAAAATATTATCACTTCTCCCAGAAAGCTGCCAATGCTGTACCCTTTTGAAGATGTTGTTTCCAGGGACACTTCTGATACCAGTTCTGAGTATGGTAATTTCCAATATCACAGCAGCCAGTAATAAATACCTTCCCTTTTACACTTTTGCACTTGGCAAGCTAGATTTGTTTGGCTCTAATGAGCTGACTAGAGGAAAAGATGTGCTCTGCTTTAAGGCTCTTAACTAACCTGGAATCATTTTTCTCTTTTCCCAAGTGATTTGCTTTAACGGCTCACTTTGGCTTTAACAGGAATATAGAGTATTAAAAAAATAAATAACCTCTCTTCCTTCCTAGATACATATACAAAGAGCGTGATGCTATCAATCAGTTCAACTGTAGTAAAATTTTAATGTAAAATTCAAAGTGATAGTAAAGGTTAAAAACTGTGAGGTTTCCTGGATGTGTAAGACAGATTCAGCAAAACAGCATTTTTGTGGCTCTATTACTCATGTTGAACAATATGTCCTGCTGTGCCTGTTGCTTGCTGATTCTTTTAAAACTCTGAAACACATTCTGCTAAACGCAGCAGAGGATATACCAGCATTGCAAGCTTTCTTGCTTTTTTTCCAAGTTAAATGTTGCAGGCATTGTTTATTTTCTGTGGAGCCTTCATCTGAAGAGCTGCACACACACACACACACACACACACACACACACACACACACACACACACACACACACACACACAAGATTTTTCAGCAACATTAACTCCAAATGAATCAAACCGAACAATATTCTATTCATACTGTTCTCAGTGACAGTACTTGAAGCTGATCTGAAATCAGCCTTTAATCTGGTCCAATATATTTGACAGCTGCTATGCACATCTTTTTTTTTTCTTTACTTTCCCTTTGGCTATTGAAAAATATTGTGGTTTGCAGTGCAAATAATTTAGGTTTACTTTTCCCTCATATATTTCCATACAGAGATGGGGAGGAGCGGAAATGAGTTTCAGCTGGCATAAAATCTTGGGGTTTAATTTGACTTAAACACAGGTACATTTTTAGTGTTCCATGTTATGAATTTCTTTTTCATTCTTATCTGAAATTACTTGCTAATTTTGACTCAATTTATAAATGCCCTGCCTTCTGACTTTGGGGGTATTTATTTGTCTAAAAAATTTGACCAGGGTCTATGGTTAAATGCAGCAGAATAAAGGATCAGTTGACTAGAATAATTTGAATACATTTGTGAAATAGACAGGGAAGTCTTAAGCTCTCATAGTAAGAAATGGTCTTTCAGATACTTCAGCAAGTTTAAAAAAAAGGGAACCTTTAAAGTGCTGCACCTGAAACTCATCACCAGCTTACAGAAACAAAGAAGAAAACAATGCCAAATTTCAGGCAAGTTGTTTTGCAGAGTAACTACCCTCTGTTGAAGGGTTCTCTGTTACTCAAAATGTACGTTCTTTTGCACAGTCCCTTGATGGGAAACATTTTGACTTTGTTTCTCTCTCTGACAAATGCCATTAATATGTTTTTCAAGAGTATGTGATCTTTTTAATGTTTTCTAAAGGGCTCAGAGATGTTCCTACAGAACTATCTGGAGGAGATAGCCCAGCTGTCTTTTAAGAGTAATCCCTTTTCCTCCCTTGCAGTCATTATCCCCAGTGTTCACATCCTATCCAAAACTGAATTGCCTGGTCTTCAGGGAAAGCTTGCTAAGCTCTTTACCATCCAGACAGAAAGGCACATTAGGAAAATACAATCCCCAAGTGCTGCGCTACAGGTAGAAAATTCATTTTTACCTTCAGTGACTCCATCTTTATTTTCTTGTTTTGTCTTCTGTGAAGGTAAAAGTTTGGTTCCAGAACAGACGGATGAAGTGGAAGCGTGTAAAAGGGGGCCAGCAAGGGGCAGCCGCCCGGGAGAAGGAACTGGTGAATGTGAAAAAGGGCACGCTGCTCCCCTCCGAGCTCTCCGGCATCGGCGCCGCCGGGCTCCAGCACACGGGGGACTCTCTAGCCAACGACGACAGCCACGACAGCGACCACAGCTCTGAGCACGCACACTTATGATACACAGAGAGTGCCCCAGCTCCGTTCTCAGGAAAGATGCTTTGCTGGCAAGCCTTACACAGGCATCGTTTACTTATGCAAGTGACTCTGGCAGTGATCTTTTAAGTTGTTATGGAAAATTCAGGCTTATTGTGTCTGCTTTTCTCAATTCTTAGATGGTTTACAGTAAGTGCCATGTCTTAAAGGTGCCTCAAGAGTGGAGAAGTGGAAGACAAACTTACTTTGAACATTCCAGATTTGTTTGTCGTTTTTATGACAGCGGGCAGGTATTTTTGCTTAAGCTTGCACTGAAAATTACATTGCTCTCAAAGACGTTATATTCTGAAAACCACAGTGCCACAAAATCACTATCTAGTGGATAAGAAATGTATTTTAACTCTGTATATATTTACCTTACAGCATTTTCCTGTCTTCACTAATTTTTAGCAATGCATTCATATTAGCTGATGGCAATAGTCACTCATGACAATAAATGGCTTTTTGTCTCTATATCTTTGTTTTGTTTTACCAAAGACATACAATACATGCAGATACTTTTGTTCAAGTAGAGAACAATACAATAGTATCTGCTAGGACACATCCTTGTATGACAGACAAAACAAACCTTATGTTGCATTTACTATCAACTGCTGCTAATAGGGTATTATTAAATTTACCTAGCTACTCAATTCTTCCTATCTTATAACTGCAAAAAGTGATTTTTACAATCATAAGGATAGTTCAGTAACCTGCCAAAAATGTCATGTTCCACTCATGCCCAGTGGAAACTTTCCAAAGGATTATTGGTCTCTACTTTGTCATAATTGAGTACATTGATAAATGCTGTAACTCTGCAGAAATGTTGTTGCTTCATGTTCAGTTTGAAAAAACAGCAGATAAACTGAAAGCTATTATCAACTGCTTATGTTGGTAGGAATCAAAATATGAAGGTAACTCTATATTGTGTCCCATGTGTAAAATCAAGACATATTTTCTGTTATAAGCTTTTGTGTACATACAGGCAAATACCAAACCCCAAAATTTAATGCAAACTATTGATTGTACTTTGTAAAGAAATATGTTTAATAAATAATCCTTTTTAAATAACTCTAGTCTCTCTACAGTGATTTCATAGGACTCTAAAAGTGATTTTTGCCTAAGCAGCTCTATCTTTTTTTGTGTGTTTTGGAACTTCATCTGGGGACAACACAAAGCTGTTTTCAAATTTAGGCTTTTAATCTTGGACGAACCTTCTACCTTGATCCATTTGGGAAACTCTTTCCTTTAGCAGGAAAAATTTAACTAGCAGCTAATGATGTCTTCAGCCAAAACCAACAAGAATTTGTTCCATCATTTTTCCATATTTAAAGCAAATGTAAAGGGTTATTTTGTAGAACTTGTTGAAATGGATGAAAGGGAATAAATTTAAGGAAGGGATGCATACTTATATTAATCATACCTTTGTTCAATATAAAGTTGTTTAATATAAAAATTCAAAGCATCTCCCCAAAAATTCAGAGATTAATTGGACTGGGTAGTGCGATAGAAGGAAGTGGGTGAAAAAAAGAGGGAGCAAGAAATGTGCACATCCTAGCAGGTACTTGTGAGCATTCACTGAAATCTGCTATGTGGAGAGTAGGGTATCATGAAAATTAAATGGAATCAAGAAATCTGTGTCTATTTTCCAAATCCTTTCCACTGTAAGTTTGATCTTTCTTGCACATTAATTGTTGCCTTGACCATTTTAGTTTAAAATATCCAAGCAAAGGGTAATTAATTTCTTAAAAGACTTCAGAGCATTTTATTGATTCCAGCACTTAAGGGGCTTTGCATTTTTCTCAGTTCTTTTTAAAATGCCTTTGTCATACAAAAGTGCTGAGAACAGGAATGGGATAAGATAACTATTGTGAACACTTATATTTTTGATTTTATGTCTGGGTGGGAAAGGTTTTTGGGTTTTGCAGGGATTATGAGAACAGAAAAAACTTACAGTGATTCATACTAAAGCTTTTACTCTTGGCTATTTTTTCCTCCCCCTTAAATGAAATATAACTACATTTCAAAATGAAAAATTACAATGGAAAGCTGAAAATAATTATCTTTAATTTTCAAATAACACTTAACCACAGAGATTTATTCAAATATTAAGTGACTTGTTTCGCTAGTAAAGGGGAGAGAAGATGTCTTCCAAGTACTCTTGGCCAAAAATACCTTTCAAGGTTTGCAGAATTGTTTCTTGCTGTCATTCATGAAAAAATTACAACTGCATCTGAAAACAGATCAACCAAGTTTGAGCTGACACTTTACAAAACAAATGGAAGTGCTTTATTTACATTATGTGAAATGCACCAATGTGTTCCTAGCCCAAGGCATTTTGTGAGGTGTGTTACTCTGTTAGTGGCACAGGGATTGGACTGGGTTACTTGCTGTGAGGGAGCAGCCAGCTTTTCCTATTGAGAAAGATAGTATTTTTCCATTTTCTTAGTTTTAACTGAATCTGTTGAGATTTAGAGCACAGGTTGAAGAGAGAGAAAGGTGAAAGTTGATTTACAGTGCTAGGAGGTGGGTTTTTTTATTTTAGGTAAGTGAATGAACTTGAAACAAAGGACCAAATAATGTAACTTTATATTTCAGAAAAAAAAGACAACTAAAACAAATTAACATTTCCTATGCTTTAAAAGCAGTTCAGACTTTGAAAATGGCTGTAAGTGTTAACTCTTAATTTCTCAGATTACTTAAGGACTTCTGTCAGCTTTTAACAACTGTTTTTGGTACACCCTTGGTGCGCACACTGTGGTGCAGAGATCCTGCACTGGCAGTAGCTGAACCTATGAAGGTACAGTGATCTTGCTACTATGTTCTTGAAGGAACTTCCTTGCATGCTCAGCCCCACAGAAATACAGCCATGCTTCTTCCAGATTTCAGCTAGCTCCTATTCAAGCCATGTAGAGCAGCAACAAATGCCCCACACTTTATAAGCACCTCTTTGCAGGTCAGCAGGTCTGCTCAGGACTCATCAATGCAGATGGTGTCTCATTTTCTTCTGAATATTCCAATTACCCAAAAACTCTCTTATGGAAGCTCCTGGGATCAACCACCTGCGGTAAGACAGGTGGTTGATGCCATGACTTTGTATCAAAGTTGTAGCACAATTTTGTTACTGAAAACAGATATGGTTAAAGGCTTTTGAACTATAACTTAAGGGCTGGTTTTATCTTTGTTGTTTTCTATCTGTCTGCAGACTGTTAAGTCTTCTACCAGTCTAGCCATGTGATATAGCTAAGCCTTTACTATTTAACACATGGACAAAATCAACCCCTAAGATTGTGACTTGCCCGAAGTTGGGCAAGCAGTTGGTTATAGAGTGAAATGTAAATGTGATGAAACCTAGTAAGGTTGGTTATCTTTATTATTTACTGTTATTAAATAGTGGATAATCACTTTTCATGAGTTGTTGTCAATGAATCTGGCTTCTGACGAATAAGGCATTCTGACGAATAATGAGGATTTTGAGTAACCATAGTTTCGACATCGTATTTCTCCAGAGTCAATTTCTGATTTTCTGTTGGTGTGTCTCTGAGCCAGGCATAAAAATGTACTCAGGAAATATACACAGAAAATATAATTGACTGTAAAATGACAGTGATGGTTAACGGTTTAATTTTCAATATGATGGATGATAAGAATTCTTTTTTCTCAGGTACAAAACTATACATTAATTGCAGGGTTTCCTTTATGACTGTTTTTTTATTTCATTATTTTGTTTATTTTAGCTTCATTATTTTAGGTATTGAGATATTGTTAAAATAATACCATTGCAAGGTGGCTGAATTTATTTAACTACACAAAAAGTAGTACTTTTTGTGCAAAAGTACAAAAGTAGAATCTTTTCTTGACTTTTCATTGGATCCAAAAGTAGTCAGAAAAAAGGGAGCACAAGAAGAGACTCTATACCAATATCTTTCTACCACAGGCCAAGTTCCAAGGTAGTTTATGTTTCCTGCTTTCTTAAGTGGAGGTTCTGACTGCTGCAATAATATTATTTATACAAATAAAGAAAGAAGCAGTATTAGGACATGCACTATTAGTAGCTATGAGGAGACATAAATTAGGGACAAAATGTCAGCTTGAGCCTTCATTTAGAATTTCCTGGCTTCAGTCATTTGGTGTCTCTTGGGTGAGCTTGTATTTAAGAAAGTACATGCAGTATTTAAGATAAATACAAGATTCAAGAAATTTTAGAGAATATAATTTAACTATTTATGAACTGTAATTTAATATCATTATTTAATGTGTGTGGATTGAAAAGGAGAATTCAGCATGCGACCTGATGTCTACGTTCATTTAAAAAAGGCATCATAACAGATAACTGGCAGTAACTGGCATAGGGCTTCAGTAGTGATGGACACTATAACCTCAGATTAATAATGACTCACTGGAGCTCATTTGCTTTTATATATTTCTTTCCATTTTAATTTTAAGCCCATGGTCTTTTGGCATCATTTACAGCTGAGAGCTGTGTTGTAGGAATCACTTTCAATGTAATTTAATGCCCTTGGCTGTTAGTCAGGGCCTCCATATGGCATAATAAGAGGTTATCACATTCATCTGTAAAAACTGCAAATGTTTTAGCAGTTTCTCAGTCCTTTATTACCTCTGTCCAAGTTGTGCATGCAGGACTGAACAGTAGACTTGGTTGAGATCAATAAACAGAGAAGACTCCACGAAGCATTGTAAATGAAGAGTTTGTTAAATAGTAGCTGTAGTAGGAAATAACCATAGTTATTGTTTTGTTTGTTTGGGTTTTTTTTCCCCCCAGCATTTTTCTTTAGGAAAACTCCAAAGATTTTAAAAGGGCACTCAAGAAATTTGTACTGGCCAGCTGGACAGGCCAACTAAGCCATGTGGGATTAGATTCAGGGCTCTAGTGAATGTCCTGTGATGGTTCTTTCTTTTTAAATATTATTTGCCCCTTGAATGCCTTCTATGACAAACTACTCCAACTCTTGCAACCCTCACTC